ACTGTATCTTTTTGAATGTGCTAGTTCTCTAATTATGATGCCTATGCTAAATTCTCGTTTACAACTGGCATAGTGCGAAGAATGACGGACCACAGCACACCCGAGAACAATGGCCCACAGCTCAAATTCGGTTACATCCATCCTCATTGACGTCTAGGTGGCAACTGGTGTTCAAAGCGCGGCGCGCGGTCTCAAACTACCGAGTACAAAAGTAGTGTGAACGGTTGTGCGCGGTGAGGCACTGCAGCAAACGACTCAAAGCGCATGTCGTTGCCACTAGTGTAAACGGGCCTTTAGACAAGAAACATTATGATGTCTTAGGCAGGAAACAAGGTCTCGGAAGGATTACTAGATTTGAAAAAAACAACACTAGTGCTGCAGCTAAAAACTAAATAAACTGTGTTGCAACTAATCGACGCGATAAAACGTCTCGCTTCGAGTCACTGGTATGTCGATGAACTTGCCATCGCTCCGTGTATGAACGCGTTCAAGAACAGACTAGATAAAGCTATGGAGAAATATATGGTCAGATTTGAAATGCCTGGCACCATATCAAACTTGGTGGAAGTCTAGTCTAGTATTTCAATTTATTTTTAGTCGTGAGAAGATCCGGTCAAAGGACCTGTTTTTAGATCTGTGAATAAGTCACAAAAATTTCAAGAATCGGCAACAGGTCACATCACCCCTATTCTTCAGCGTCGACATCACTATGATATGATATGCAAGAAAATATTTTCTGGAATTCCCTCGCATACCACAGTTCGGGAACCACTATTTAAAAAATTGCTTACTGAAAAGCTAAGAAAAAATCGCGATTATCTACAGTTTTCCTGGTAAATGGGAATACCTGCAAATCTTTTACATCAACGAAAAAATAGGGTTGAAGATGTGTATAGCACTATAGCTCATTAATACCAGGAAAGTATTTAATTTTAAGTGTTTATTTTTATAGAGTATAGTATTTATTTAATAAACAAAAATTATCTTCAGCATAGTCAAGAAAGGAAAATTTTATTTATTGTCCATAGCCGTTATTAGATAGTTTCAAAAATTATGTGGAGGTACCAGCGTCCTCGTAGCGTGCTGCGAGAGGCTCAGGCTACAGATCGTCTGGACTATTACGACATTGAGATCGGGGGATAGGAGCTTTAGAATGAAAATCGAAGCAACATCTTTCATGAAATGTCGGACATGACGTTACAATGCAACGTTGAATCCATGTTACTACTACGACGTCGCTGCGACGTTGAATAATCTGGTTGAATCGACGATGAAACATCTACCTATTACGACGTTGATATCGCTGTGAAAAGAGGTTTAGAATGAAAATTGAAGCAACGTCTCTCATGAAACGTCGTACTGACGTTACAATGCGACGTTGAATCAATGTTCCTACTACGACATTGCTGCAACCTCAAATTCTCTGGTTTAATCGACGTTGAAGAACCAACCTGTTTTACTTCCGTTGCAGGATTCTGAACCCGGGATCGATGGAGACCGCGCGACGCCTTAGCAACCTTGACCGCGGCAGCTCGCGTGCATGAACGATAGAAATAAGCTAAAGAATTATTCGACTTCTTGAAAATTGAAATGCATTCTCTGGTCATTAATCGTACTCTTAATATATATGTATTTCATTCAATGTTAATGTGATAACATTAGTTTCATGCTGGTAAATAGCTAAACATTCAACGTACCGATATCGACCAGTTTTCGACGATGAAATAAGGCTGCTTTACATCCGTTTTAGTTTTGGTCAGACTTCGACGTTGATTGGACGTTTAATTTGGGTTGTTCAGCAATTCAAGATGAAATCAACATTGATTCGTCGTTTAAAAATTAGTAAAAATTCAGCGTACCAATATCGACGTAATTTCAAAGTTGAAATAAGGTTGTTTTACATCCGTTCTAGTTTTGGTCAGATTTCGACGTTGAATTGATGTTTAATCTGTTTAATCAATTCAACCTGAAATCAACATTGATTCAACGTTTAAACATAAGTAAAAATTCAACGTACCATTATCGACGTTATTTCAACGTTGAAATAAGGTCGTTTTACGTCTCTTCTAGTGTTGGTCAGATTTCGACGTTGATATGACGTTTAATTTTGGTTGTTCAACATTTCAACCTAAAATCAATCAATAACCAACGTTGTTCCAACGTAAAATGCCTGCTGGGCAGTATCAATAAATGCTTAAGAATACAATAGAGTGGTAAGCCGTTATCAGGTAATTCAATACAAGCGAAAATTATTAGCATCATGGTAAAATTTTTCTTCCATTTTCCAATGCTTTGGTGTATTTCGACGTGGCAGCGATCCTCATGGCAGAGTATACACAACACTGATATTGTTTGTTTACACAACACTGATATTGTTACCATTAGTTGAATATCGATAACTTTTTGCATTGTTTCTTCGGATGTGAAGGAAAAATGTTTTTCCACAAACATCATTACCACGATTCTGAATTTAGTATAGCTCTTTGTATTAAGCTAGTTACAGAAACAGGCATTGATAGTAAATCGCTTGTAAATTCAACTGCCCCTCCCTTCCTCTCACTGTAGAGGAAGGGGGTGATTTTTTTTAATCACGTAGTCAGACTCGGCCAGAGCTTCCCCGGATCCGGGGACGACTCTAATTATAGACACATAATAAGCATTTGAAAGTAGAAACTTAAACTCAGAGATATGAATATTCAAATCATGAAAACAAGAATGCGTTTCATGCTCGCCAGAAGGCCGTTGCAACCTATCTTCCGTGGCGGTGGGCTACCAGTGCCTGAGTTTTGAAAACGCGACCCAACAGTCTTGGCAGATCTCGAAGAATATCTGTCAGGTGGATGGAGGCGACCTAGACACATTCGTCGACAGCGAGCAGTTCAGCATTGTGGCCAACTACCTATATGAGCATGGTGAATACTTAAATAATTAATTATATGCAATTTGGAAGTTTAAATAGCTAATTACGAGTTATTAGAGCTCCGAAAAAGTTTGCATACTATCGTTTGCATGAGAACCAAGCACATTGAGGACGCTCGCAAACGATCATAGCGCAGGCAAGCTAACTTTCGATAATATAATTCCTCTTGGTTACTTACAATGCCACTTTCTAACAATTTTCCCTAAAGCTGTACGTAACATTATTAAACAATTTGGCCAGATTTGCAATACATATATATATAGATCGGTACTGGGTGGGTGGTTACCTTGAAGACTGGGACACAGGACTGGTTCTGGCTCGATCACTAACAAAAATCAAGGCATGATACAGAGTCTGCGAGAGGCTCGCTATAGTAGGAGTAAGGTTATTTTGGGTCTGCTAGGGGTAAGGTTATAGAGACGCTTGTGGACTATGCTCCCCGAGTCCTATAGGCGTTCTCTAATCCAGAGCCGCCCCCATGTCAAAATTTTTAGTTAATGGCGACCTTGAATTAGGAACCGCCTAGGACTCGGACCGAACGTAAATATCAGCTTCTCTATGTCCGCTTTTTGGTCTACGAATCAGACAGCTACCAGAGCCTGGTGAGAGGACTGAGAGGATTCTGCCAACTCTTGCCCTACTCTCAGGAGACCATAAAGTCGGCCAGGAGGTTCTGACTAGTCGCTGATTGCGATCAGTTAGCCAACTGACCCAGAATAACTCTAACGCTTAACATAGCAACTCTGGGGCAGAGGCTGAAGCATACCCCGAATTTTGTTAGGGCCTCGGCTCTAAATTTTGTTAGGGATGGATCCTCGATCCGTTTGGGAGTTCCGTTGTGGGGGCAGGTAAGATGGCTGATGACAAATCTTTAGAACTGGTCGGAATGCTTCGATAAAAATCAATAGTAGCACGTTTGTTTCCAATTTATTCACTGATCGATTTTCCCTGAGCCCCTATAATAAAATTATTAAGACATGAATTAGCATGTGGTGAAGGAACGTTTTTTTTAAATCTGCTACACATTTAATTGAGGAAATTCCTTCTCGTTTTATAAACGAATACCGATGAAATTCACCACTATTGCATGAATTTCGTATTTAAACCGTCAGTACATCCTCGGTATTCATTACGACAATTCTGATTTGATTGACGGAAGGCTTTGTCTTTACCTACCTCTGTAAGAAAATAGCGTATAATGAAATATTATTTCTCAATAATCATTCAATCCATCAAATTGTCTGATGTTTTTCTCTAGATTAGTTTTACGTTGAAGAATTGCTCCCCGACAACCCGACAGTCGAGCGGTGTCTGGAACTCGGTTATGAATATCGGCATCGGTTCAACGATCTTGACTGCCTAGAGTTGCATAGTCAAGCCTTTTATGCTGAAAATATGCACTTATTTGATCATTTCCTCAGGAGGGACTTCTAACGGGTGTCTGTGCTTGTCAAAATTCCTGTAAGATTTTGCGTTCCTAGCTAGGGATTGTTCCTGAGCGCCCCTACCGCTGAGCTCGCGGTGTCTGACCCTTGGTCTCAGTTGTGGGGTTAAGTTATTATGTAGGTAGGATTCCTTACATTAAGTTATTGTGACACAAACTTGTGCGGGCTCAACGTTTAGGGAAAAGTCGACGTTCTTTTTCTCCCGTTTATTTCATATACTTGAGTGACGTAAGCTGAAAATAAGATTTAATATTAGTTAATAGGTCGAGATAGGCATACATGAAACTTACACTGGGCTCATTGACTCTCATTGTTTAGACTTAAGTACTAAACGTTTTAGAATATATGAACGTTATTAATTGACGTCTCAAGTTCTCGATAACAACATTACAACTGGCATGACAGGAATTGTTTATGTCGGCATGGCCACGATATTTCATTTGTTACTTTCGTGCGGGCGGTCGACGTCCCGTGTAAGCGACGTCATTGAGTTGACTCAATTGATCTATCAATGCATTTGAAAGGCAATCATTTGATCGTTTCGATTTAATTAAACGCATTCAATTCATCAACCCAGCTAAACCAATCGGTTTTTTGGATTTGTTTATGTATATGAACTGAAACGATAATTTCAGCGCACGCACTGAATTGCCCTGATAATTACAATGACATCGGAAGCGGCTGCGTGCTTGCCCCCGCCGAGCGGTTGCCCGCGCTCGAGGCCCAGAGTCTGTGTCGCGAATTACACGGGGAACTCGCCATCCTCGACCGCTGCGACATTTTCGCGGACGCTGCGCACTACATTGAAGAAACAGGTGAAAAACAGGTTCTGTTGAATAGGGTTTACACTAACCTCATTAGTATCTTCTATTAGCACCATGTGAGTCCCAAAGTTTCATTGCAGCATTTTTATCGTACGTAAGTATCAATCCCGACAATAAATTAAATATTTCCACCATGCAATCAATCATATAATAATTTATTAAATAGGTACCTATGTAGATTAATAATTATTGAACCTAAGGTACCAAATAATATTTGTTTTGATCTCTGTAGGCAAAGGTTTCATTGCATATTATCATTTCTCTCGATATAGAGCATGAACATTAACGTAACATATTCCAAATAAGAACTGTTTTCTGATAGAATTTATTTTCCGACCTAATGCAGATGGGATGTACCACAGTTTCTGGATCGGTGGAACGTACTCAGTGACCCGAGATGAATGGCAGTGGTGGGATGGATCTGTGATTGCGAAAGGGGCACCCTTCTGGGGAACGGTGAGTATTTTCTACAAAATTATGATAATGCAAGTTCAACATTTGTTTATAGAATAATGTATTGAAGACCTTTTTTGAAATATATACATATTTACTGTTTAGACATGATCTGATCATCTTTGGTATATAGATTAGAAATGGTAATTGCATGCTTAATATCGTCGCTAACCGACGATCCAAAATTGGTCGATGCTAAGTAGTTTCGCTAGCGTGATTGCGGAATAAATCAGTAATAAAACATGTTCTTTTTTCATCAGTCTGGCGGAGGATCGTGGGAGCCTTGGTACGGCCACTGCACAGCAATTTTCTACGAAGATAACCCTTACATGGCGGCGTATGCTTGCGACGCGGAGTTTCATCACATTTGTGAAGGGCCACACACAGCAGGCGAGGGGCTGGGATATATTCAAACATTTATTTATTCGATGAGCTTACATCGAAATGAAAAAAAACGTGACCGTATAATAGAGATATGGAAAAATGTTGTGTGACATATAAATTAGTATTATTAACCATAAATCTGCATTTAGACCAGCAGCTCTAGGATATAAATATTGAAATCATGGAAATAAAATGTATTTCATGCTCTTCCAGAGGGTCATTGCAACCTCCCGTACACGGCGGTAGGAAGTCAGTGCCTGAGCTTTGATAGCTCAGCCAGGCAGACATGGGAGGCCTCGCGAAATATCTGCCAGGCGGATGGTGGCGATCTGGTCACATTCGATAATTGCGAGCAGTTCGGAGTAGTGGCTAATTACATCCTCGAGCAAGGTTAATAAACGTTCAATATCCGATTGACCAAGCAGATAGATTCAGCTGATACATTAGTGGCCATGGAAAAATGTCTCTGAACATTATTGGTCAAATGCTCCCGCTGGAGTTTCATGAGTAAAGGTACACCACTCGTTTTATGGTATCTGTAGTTGGTTTACAAAAAATAGCATCCAAAGTGAAGCTATTGTTTTAAAAAGCATGGTGTTCGTTAAAATAATTGAATATTTTTTCAGGACTAATATGTTTCTTTATATTTCAGTAGGGGAAACTACAATCTCCAAATTTGATTAACACCAATGCAGAAAACGAGGTTAACATCCAGTTTAGTTATGGCTAATCACTGTTTGTGATTCACTGACCTAAAGTATTTTGACGCTAAGAACTAACATTGAATAATAAATTATTATTTAGACACAAACAAAAAACAATGGATAATAAAATCATGATCTTTACAAACGAATCAATAAAATTCATCTTTATTAGTCGCTTCTCTAAATCGTACATATTAAACAGAGCCCGAACAAAAATCGAACAACTTTGCCAGATTTGCAGCACATAACCTACTACTGGGTGGGTGGCTACCTGGTCGATGAGACGAACAACTGGTTTTGGCTCGACAATTCCTCGATTCCTATGGGACTTCCTTATTGGGGTCAGGTAAGATGCCTAATCAAAATTATCCTGTGAATTTTGACGAAAAAGAAGAACCATGTCTTAGCCCCTCTGAGATCTTCCATAAAAATACATCAAATTATGAAATACTCACTCAACCATGAACCGGGGTACAACCATAGTGCTTCCGTGAATAAATAACGATCAAATTAGCCATAACTTTGTGTGTTTCGTGTTATTATACTTCATCAGTACGACCTCATTGGCAACCATTACGACGATTTAGTTCGAGCCGTGGTCGACACTCGTGTTTGTGGTCCCAAATTTCTAACTTTTACTGTGCCGTTTCGGAACTCTTTTAGCGTTTATTTTTTAAGATCCGTGTCAGAGAATGACCGAATTTCAGTGAAGTCAGTGAAAGAGAGTGCGAATAGAAAGAATAAGCCAATAGTACGTGTTTTTCGTCTTGAATTAACGCGGGCTTTGGAGTCTGTGAGGGTAGCGTTGCAGCGAGTGAGGGAAACTTGCGCACTGTGTCACCAACGCAGGACAACACAGCCTCTGTTTCTTGTCCAAGCTCTGCCTACCTCTACCCTGAACACCTTGGCTCCGCTGATCCCACAGCATTCTGAAAGCCGCTAACTCGCAGCGGGTTACCAAGTTTTTACAGCACTTTGGAAATTTGTACAATTTTTACTCAACTTGACTCAGTTTTTAACTTGTGTTTTTTAGCTCTTGCATTTCATGATGTCTGGAAAGAGAGGAAAGAGATTAATTGGAAAGGCCACTAGTCCTGTTAAATCGAATGCGAAGATCAAATCACAAAATGAGCGAGGGGACATTTGTAAATTTTGCAAGCTGGTTTCGGTTAACGTCGACGACGCCACAGTGGCCTGTGATCGTTGCGGGGATATCATCTGTCACAATTGCTCAAAGTTGAACAAGACAAATTGCTCAGTTATTCGCAGAAACGAGACAGTGCATGCACTGGTATTGTCTGGACTGCCAACAACCTGCGCTTGGTGCTGTAAAAAGTGAAAAGATGGTGGAAGAGATGTGTTCTTCTATGTTCTCAGTCGTCAAGGCTGAAATGGAGGCAACTCAAAAGACAGAGCTGGGAGAGAGAGCCGAAATGGAGTAGAACCACAAGAAAAAGTGAGCTTGTTGCGTAGCGAATTACAATCGTTACGAAGCGAGCTGGTGGATATGAAAGCCCATTTACACAAAAGAGAAAAGAGCGATAACACAGGAGGTAAAGGCCACAAAGAGGTCATCTCTGATCTCACCAGCGAGAGCACTCGTGAGCTGCTGGATAGAAAGAAGAGTTAACCCTGTTTGGTTTGGCGTTCCCGTAAGCAATGCTTCGGACGCTGCGTTTATTACTGATTGTTGTGCAAAGGAAGTTAGCGTTGTTGTGAATATAACAGCATGCAAGAGGCTGCGATCGAAAGACGCTACCACCTGTAAACCGCTGCTGGTGACTGTGCAGGATGCAGCCCAGGTCGGACATGTGCTCATGGCTGCGAGAAAACTAAGTGAATTCCCAGAGTTTAATTCAGTCTTTGTTAAGAAAGAAGCTACCCTTTCAGAGAGAGCGGATTTTCGCAAGAAATGGCAGGGGAGAATCAGGCGGAAAAGCACGGAAACTCAGGTCACCCACTCACGATTTCAAGACAACACCGGCCGCACAAGGTCAGATAGCGGAGCTGGAAGAGAAGTAAGAAGTCATGTCCATAGATCCAGGCTTGTAAATAATGTAAGAAGTAACCGCGTACATAAAAGTGAGTACACAAAAAGTTTTGATATGTTTTGACACGAACTCTGATTCCGTTTAAAAAAAAAGTGAAATGCTAACTGTGATCGCAAACGAGTACCTAGACAATATTTGTATTACACGCCCTAAAAATCACGGGGGGAAAATTAAGTTATCTGCAGAGCATCGATCAGCCAGAGAATCAGTGGTGCGGCTTTTCTCTCATAAGCATAGATAGCCTCCTCATAGGCGTCGTGTATAGATCGCCAAACAGTTCCTCCGATTACGATAAAGTACTAATCAGTCTTTTACCGAGCATGACTTTCCGTAGGTCACACACGATGATCGTTGGTGATTTTTTTTCGTCCAGAACTAGACTGGACAGAATTATCCTATTTATGGGATGGAAATCACCCAGCATTCATGTTCATGGAGTCTGTGAGAGACGCCTTCCTAGTCCACCACGTTACANGATCTTGCTGGCTGACTGGAAAGAAGCTCAAGTGACACTATTGTTCAAAGAAATTGACAAATGCTGCCCGGGCAACTATCGCCCTGTCAGTTTGAGAAGTAATGTTTACAAGGTAACGGAATATGTTGTGAGGTATCGATTGATCGATCATATGACTGTTAATAATCTCCTATCAGACTGTCAACATGGCTTTATTTCTGGTAGATCCTGCACCATGGACTCACTAACCACTTGACTACTCGGAATGAATGGACCCGCCTGCTGGACGAACGGAGGCTAGTAGATGCAGTGTACCGCGATTTTGGCAAGGCATTTGAAAGTGTCCCACATGTGCGGCTGCTGCGTAAATTGAAGTCTTTGGGAATTGAGAGTAATGTACTCAGAGGGATCAGAGATTTTCTAGTTAGGAGACGACAACGTGTATCAGACTGGTCTTCAGTAAACAGAGGCGTGCCACAAGGAAGCGTTCTCAGGCCTGTTATATTCGTTGCGTTTATATACGATCTGCCAGAAGCAGTGTATGCCAACGACACAAAAGTTTAGAATACAGTGAAAAATTACAGTTGAAAGGTGATCTTGACAGGTTAGTGGACTGGGCTGATAAGTGGCAGCTGCGTTTTAATGCTGACAACTGTAAAGTAATCCACCTTGGCAATGAAAAGCAAGATTACAGTATGAGAAGACATGGTTGCAAGGACAGAGTGATGATGTTGAAGTCGACAATGGAAAAAGACTTGGGAGTTAATGTCGATAAAAAAGTTGAAATTTTAATAATAAATAAAGTTAAAGAAGCCAATAAACGACTTGGACTGATCAGACGCTCTTACGAGTACCTGGATGCAGAAGCGATGAAGCTGCATGCATATCGCTGTCGTGCGTCCGAACCTAGAGTTTGGAAATGCCGTGTGGTCACCAAAACTAGAAAAGGACAAAAATTTAGTCGAGAGTGTTGAAAGAGGTCAACAAGGATAATTCCGGGATTAAAAGGCAAGCCTTAATTATGAAGAAAGATAAAAGATTATGAAGCTTCCAAGCCTCTGTTATTGACGTCTGCATGGTGACCTCATTGAAATATACAAGTATACCCACGGTTAGGTAGGTACGTCAATGAAGGAGTCATAGAATTTGAAACAAGAAGCAACACCATGGGCCACGGCTATAAACTAAAAAATACATCGTTGTAACACATCCACGCGACAACATTTCTTCTCGCTTCGAGTCACCGTCATGTGGAACAGCCCCCCTGACAGCATTGTTGACGCTCCGAGTATGAACGCTTTCAAGAACAGACTAGACGAAGCTATACAGGAGCATACGTCCAGTCTTGAAATGGCTAGCACCTTACGGACCAAGAAATAAATCTAGCAGCTATCTCAAACAATCGTCAGTTATGGAAAGATCGGGTTCAGAAGGCCGGATCTGTTGTGGAATTAGGTCACGAAAAGTACAAGAATCGGAATCAGGCCATGGGCCTATTTCTCCAGTGCCGACAATTCTATTCTATTTTAAGACGGAATGCTTGTCTATACCCATTTCTTTAAAAAAGGCGGATGGTGAAATATTATTTCTCATTTATCATTATGTCCACCAAATTGACTGATATCATTTTCTTGACTAGTACTACCCCGGAAAATTGCTCCCGGACAACCCGACAGTCGAGCGGTGTCTGGAACTCGGTTTAGAATATCGGCATCGGTTCAACGATCTTGACTGCCAAGAGTTACGCCGGCCGCTCTGCATGGCATCGCCAGTTGAATGACAACTTAGTGGCATGAATCACATTTTCAAAGCACTATCATACTTTTCAAGGTAAAAACTTTCAGAGAATGCCATTCCGAATACCAGAGAATACCAATACCTTAATGTTTGAACATGTGATCTCGAAACCGCGAGTAAAGGTAACAAATAATAAAAGTTTGAAAATTATTTTTTAAAGACAACACTTCTAAAGAATCCAGTGACTCTGATATTACACATGTAAAATGAAGTTTTAATTTTATTTTCAAATATAAATTTTTTATATATAAAAATTATTTAAATATTTAAAATTATTTTTCTGTCAACTGATTCATGTATTGTCTCCAACTATACAAGTGTGCAAAATTTCAGATTGATTGGAGTGGTAGAAGTGTGTTAGTTAAATATCGATTATAAGATTTGTAGCCGACAGACAAACAAACATCCAAACAAACAACAAGAAGTGAAGGGAGAAGTGTTGTAAAAATGAACACCGAGCTTCGCATCTTGCTTTAGACACAATTCTGGCATTCATTTAATTATTACGATATGAGAGCAGGTAATTCAAAAGTAAAGTATTTTTGCAGATGAGTTCATAACCGCACGCATCGTTAGGGGTTAGTTCAATTATTAAACAATATAATAAATTGGCTAAAATTTTTCCTGTTTTTTTCTTCGCGAAATAATATTCATCCAGGCTGGAAACGGCGAAGTCTTCGTTCAAGTTCGTTGCGATCATTTGACATTTCAAAGCATCAGATCGTGCGGGCTAATAGCATGACAAGCATGCCGACAGCGAATGGCTGCTTGGCACATTCTAGATCCACCACATGAGACGAGGCTGCGAAAACTCACGGTATCGTGAACGTTACTTTCAAAACAAACCCAAATAAGATTAAAACTGACACGGCACCAATTATGTTGGGTCCATTCAATAAATAAACACATCAATAAAGCCTTCGGTGACCTCATGCATTAAACCGATGATCCTACAGAATGGGCGAGTATATATGATAGATAAAAAACTAAATTAATCAAGCAAGCTTCAAGAATAAAATATAGAAACATAAACTGTTTGTTCTTTTTACAGTATTTTTAAATTATAAATTAGGACTTTACTTTCAAAGTCTTTCTAAGTGGTGGATCTTGAAACTATGGTGAGGTATGGAGCGAGTTTGAACAAGGTCACCGCGGAGGTGACATGAAGCGCTGAATGAGAAATTATAGGGATACAAACATCTAACTGCTAATAAAATCATATATTCCACCACGTTCCCTAACATCTTTGATAAGTTATTTCTCGTGCCGCGCTGGATGTTTCATTAATGAGCTTCTTTGTCGTTCATCCCAGTGACATTCATGGCTCGAATTGGGCATTGTTTCGACCAACGAACCCAGGTTTCTTAAATTTGTAATTTTTTTGAAAAATCCATTGAAAATTTACACATTTCCAAATTACCATGTAACGCGCTGCATCATTTACCCATTATAGCCTAATCATTATTTGTATTAAATTTGCATGTGAAAATACACATTTGCTACGAAATAAACTGTTTACTGTCGTCTTCGTTTCAGTTCCTGATAATACGACAGCTACAATAATTTTCAAAATCCACCGACTGAAAGCAAGTCTGTGCTAAAATGGGACTCTTGTATTTTCTAAACAATGTTATCAATAAGATAAATATAAATGAACTGACTAGGAATTTGCAAAGCGAAACAAATCTGAAATTTTCCGTGTATTTTGTAAATAAATAATTTCATCAACTGAACTTAACAGTGAACAGTGGACTTGTGAACAGTGGAAAAATCGTGTAATATATCAGTGCATTCGTAACACTCTACAGGATTGATTTATCTGTTATTAATATCATACATAGACTGTAGATCAATTTCAAAGCTCATGTTCAGAATCGTGGCTCATTTATATATGAATATTATACAGTAGGGTAACATGGGGCAGCGGCCTCCCCTTTTTTTAAACCAAATTTTTGATTAAGTTTTATTTGATACGAGGTGGTTCTTTGTTTTTTTTTAAGTTACAGCTAATGATGAATGTATAATGTGAGTTAAACGGCTATAGAATTATTTTATTTTTAATGAAACACTGTTTTGTAAAAAGTGTCAAAATGGGCCATTGCCCCACCCCTGGGGCAATAGGCCTATGGGCTTGGGGCAAGGCACCCATCCCTGGTCCCTTTACCCCTATTGCATATTTTTTGCTTAAAAATGATAAAACAACACTTTACAGTTCAAAATAATAAAATGTAGTACAAAAATTACATTCATTCATTTATTAACAACTTAAAAATCATATCCTTAATTTGAAAAAAATATAACCGTGGCTTAAAAAATCTATCACTGATGTGAAAAAATATTTCCTTGACATAAAAATATATATCCTAGGCTTGAAAAATATATCCGCCATAAAAAATCATCCTTGACATGAAAAAATGTATCCTTGACATGAAAAATTTATCCTTGACAAGAAATAATATATTTACTTGATCAGAAAAAACTTCGCACCAGTTTAGTCCAAAATCCAGATGTCATGTGCAGGGAATTCGTACTTGATCTTGAGTTCAGCCAACACAAAAAAAAAACTCATCAACTTTTGGCTCATTGATGTGTGCTGAAATAAACTTTTGGCAAGGCATGAGCGAATAACTCGATAAGGAGTCAAATACACATGACTAGAAACTAGAACCTGCTGCCTTGAGGCGGCAAAACAAAAAATCATACAATATGAAGAGTAATTTATGATTCAAAATGCTAGTCATAGTTTTTAAAAAAACAATGACTGGAAAACTTGAACTCAAAATTATTCCTATATATAATACTTTCAAAATATAATTCACAGGAATTTCTAAAGTTTCCTATACAGTTATTGGAAACGGTTTTCTTTAGAAGATAAAAAACTTTTATCTGGGCTAAAACACTTATTCGCAAATAACTTAACAACGCAAACTCTTAGCAAACGTAAATCCGTATACTTCATCCCAGTGAAACTGTTGACCGGCGGTAGAGAACACGGACCAATATCTGCCATAGGTACTTAGCGAGAAGCCCGTTATGGGCCTTTGACCCGCAGTGGTCCCTTTGCCCCAACTAGCTGAAGCAATCGAACCTGCAACTCACTGCCACTATCTTGCAACACTATAAGCACCCGACCATCTGGCCGACTACGACGAGAAATTTTTGCTGTGAGCGTTGTTTATCACGTTTATTTTTTAGACATGGGGGTAACCTACTGGGAACGGTGAGTAGATTTCTATTATTTTATAATGATGCAAGTTCAACATTGGTTCATAAAATAATGTATTACAGAGTTTTTTTTTCAAATGTACGAAACTTGACTGATTAGACATGGTCAGATCAACTTTCATCGATATATTAGAAATGGTATTTGCATGCTAAATATCGCCCTTAACAGATGATCCGGAATTGGTCGATGTTAGGTAATTTCATCAAAATTTGCATGCAATATCGCGGAATAAATCAGTAACAAACATGTTCTTTTTCGTCAACAGGCTGATGGAGGCTCATGGGAGACTAATTGGGGAGGGGGGG